GTAAACAACACTGTTCAAACTTGTGACCATGTGACTAACCCTACTTGCATTCATTGACCCAAAGTAACTGAAAGCCTTTCTCGCTTACAAGCCAAATCTAATACCCTCTTTCGAAAAGGTTACTTGTCGTACATTACATGAGGTTTAGAATCTTGGAGCGACAGAGTCGCAATCTTCCAAACCCAAAACTATCAAACTAATAAAAGAAGAGGCTTATAATCTTATCAACATTGCTAGTACAAAGAAGATTACTAACAAACAAATTGCCTACATTATCAATACAGTAATCATTCTAACTTTGGAATATCAATTATATAACACTATTCTTCTCCATACTACATGTAATCAAATCTTATCCAAATACCTTACTGTAGCAAAACATAAGTCTCATCTTTCCAGATCTATACCAAATAGCACAATGCTTAATCTATATTTATATAATATTTATAATATATGAGATATTCAACTTCAACACTACATTTCTAATTATCTTCAACAAATCAACAATCCTGACCTTCTTGGCATTACAACCTGAATTAGACTTCAACAACTACAAAATAACTTATGGTCTCCTATCAATATTTTACATCATCTTAAACCAATTATTGATGGTCCTAACAGACACTCATTAAACTTCAAAATTATTCAACTTTTTATCCATCTTGGCTTAGTAATCTCAGCCAATCCTAATATTACATGGCCCCATACAATTAGTAATGGAGGCCAGTCACTAGAATCAATCTTATCTCAGCATTCTAAATACCCAATCTTTAAAAAGCAACTTATGCTAAATACAAATGATGTACAGGATGCCATCTTAATTCTCATAGAATTAACCAAACTTGTATTGTTGAAGTTTTTGCAGTTATTTCAACACAATTTCTTGGGAGAACCAATACCAAACACCAACTTAACCTTAATGCAAATTACTTAGACCTTATCTGCTCTACAGCTGTCAAGCATCCAATCTATATTTACCCTCTATCTACAATTCCTATTTTCAACTCAATCACTTTAGAAATTTTTATTCCAAGTGAAACTACTAACAAACTCATATCTATCTCTCAACTCAATCACTCTTACCAACAACTATCCTTTTATACTGATAGTTCAGTAATTGACATTTGTACTAACCAATGCATAATGGGCATCAGTTGAATCCAAATTGATAATAATAATCAAACTATTAACTTCTTTTCTGTTAAAATACAATTTTGGCACTCATCATACAAAGCTGAGCTTTTTTCAATTATTATGATAATCTCAACAGCTTCATGCAATTCAGTAGTTAATATTTTCACTGATTCTTAATTAGTAATTTCTAAATTTAACAACCTTCAACTTTATTTAAATTACCCTAATAAGCTACTCAAATTCAACTCATGCCCTATTTGGCATACTCTTTCTAATATTATTAAATTACACAAATTACAAATCATCTTTCACAATGTGCAAGCTCATTCATATAATAATCTTAACAAGCAAGCAGACTCTTTCGCTAAACAACATCCATCATTACTACTTCTTTCATTTAATTATACAAACCTTTATAATCCTTACCATATTCTTCAATGGGAACAACACTATGTAGAACTTCTTACAAGATATTTTATTAAGCAAATATGTAAAGCCCATATACTAGCTATATGGGCATCACAAAAACATAATAGCGAGTGGTTATACTTCAATCAGGATATTGACTGAAAATCTACTTGGCTTTATTTTAATTATAATCAAAAACCTTCACACAATATTACTAATTTTAGACTCAATCAACTAAAATTTTTTAAAATCAAAACTCTTCTTAATGAGTTATTAACATATCAACTATTTCATACTATTTACCCAAACCAATATTCAGATACTAATTGCTTTCACTGTAACCTAGCTAACTCTTATTCTCACTGGTGTATTTGTGCTAATACACTTTCACTTAACCAAATTATTCAAACATCTACTAATTAAATTATCTTCAGCAAATTATTCAATCTCGATACTTACCAAAAAAATGACCTAATTTATAAAATTTTTTATCATCTAGCTCTCAACCCTTTATACATCTTACTTAATACATTTTATCCTAATCTTACTATTAAAGGACTTATTCCAAAGTTATTCATATTAACAGTTTAAAACTTTAACATATTATATAAAACTGGCTCCCAAGTTATTATCAATATTCTTCTTAATATTAACAAACAATTATATGAACAATTATGAAAAATATATTGCATTCATTTTTCTAACTAGAAAAAACAACAAAATATACCTCAATCTCAACCAATCAACAAACCTTTAATTCATCTAACTTAGCAACTAGGCATATATATTTTCATAGAAACTATACTTATTCATGCCTCTGTAGACTTCCAGATCAAGTACATATTTACTTTAACATATGTTCTCCTATTGGCCAAGCAATTTGTAAAATTAACATTTAGTCTATTCTATAGATCAAATATAGCATATTATTAAATTATATACTAAACATTTAAATCTAGATGAGCTTTGACCACTCTAATAGGTTTAGGTCACAGATAAATTAGTCTGAGTTTTTATTCTTGTATGTAATTTTTAATTTATTTGTTTTGTACAAATAGTAGTAGCTATATAGTTAGCAGTTTAATAGTTAGCTCTAACTGCAAGTATTGGCCTCAGTCATAGCATATATCTATGTAACTATTTTAAATTATTAATAAAGATATAAGCAAGCCTCATCTTAATACCAAAAAAAAAAAAAAAAAAAAACCCCAGTATTGGATAAGGTTTTGGTACAAACCCATAATAAAACCACTAGATATAGAAGGCTAAGAAACCAAGAAGATAGAAACCTACTTGGAAATCCCAAATAAAGAAGTAGTACAAACTTTCGATAGTGCTATTGAACTAATAGAAGTTTATAAAACACCTTCATAGGAACTATCAGATAAACTGAATAACAAGATGTATAGAGGAGCATATGACCAACCAGGCTACCAGAATCACCAGAGAAAAAAGATACATAAGTATATCATACTGAGCTATCTGAATTGGAAGTCTGAGAAATTCTGTTGTTAATTTCAAGTTGTGACTAGTAAAGAATAATGGAGAAGAAGTCAGAAAGATAGGTACTAGGATTTGAGTGAACTTTACAAGAGTAATAGTGGTTTAAGAGATAATCTTGACTACAAGTATTGGTCTTAGTTATAGTATCAAACCAGGTTAGCAATAAAAGAGAATATGGCTTGTTTTGGTAGGTTTATCTCAAAGATAAAAATAGTTTAAGAATTATAGTTTTATGGTTAAAAGTATAGATGCTGGTGAAATTAAATTAGAATAGTGAAATAATTTCACCATTTCGCCAATCACCAATCAGTAATGGTGTAACTGGTGAATTGGTGTAATTGATATAATTAGTAAATTGGTGTAATTGGTATAACTGGTGAATTAGTGTAATTGGTGTAACTAGTGAATTGGTGTAATTGGTGAAATGGTGAAATGGTGAAATAATCAAATGAGTTCCAGAATCTGGAATGATTTTAGCCTGGAATCCAGACTGTATTTGCTCTTCAAAGGTTAGGTTTTTTTTTTAAGTTTTTTATATTTTATGTTTTTACATATACGCTTAGAGGTCAGAACTATTTATTTGTATATCTGTATGGCTAATACATATCTGGATGCCATAAGTGCCTTATGGATAATAACCTCCATCTGTTAATGTTTGCAGTAGAGGTGCGATCCGTTTTCCATTTTTCTATTTAAATTTACAAATATCTGTAAATTTATTTAATGAAACGGATAACGAATCGCACCTCTAATTTGCAGGTATCTGTGATGTAAGAATTCTATGAACCCTGCATATTTATGACAATGGTAATATGCAGGTTCATCTACATGTTATAGTACTAATTCGAAAATAGCAATAGTGACAAAAACCAGTTTATGTACTGTTTAGTACGTGCCATATATGTTATCTATTAGCATGAGAACAAATTTCGGAAAGATAAAAATGTTCTATTTCTGTTTTGAAATTTTAAATCAAAAATGAAATAGGAGATATCCGGAGATAAATAAAGTGTGTACCTTTTTTTTTTTGATGATGCTTAAAACTCTTAATATTACATATTTATTTTTTGAATTATTAATATTTAATAAAATAATATGCCTTCCCAAAAACTTTTAAACAAGCTGCTAAAAAAAAGAACTTGAAAAAAAATCATAAGATTAGAGATTGTACCTGTCAAGAATCTCTACACTGGTATTAGTAATTTATTAGACATATAATAAAAATGTCTGTAATTGTCGATCAGAAGTATAAGGCATAACAATATATATGTAAAAGGTATCAAGTTTTGAAAGAAAATTCACGATCATAAAAAATATTAATTATTATTGTTATTATATAAATAAGCTTACAAATCAAAATAAATAAGATTTATGATTTACTGATTTCAAAATTAATTTAATTCAAAATCAGAAACCCCAAAGCCATCAAACAGTATAAGTTAATGTCTCTGATTTTAATCATATATCCGCAAAACCTGCTTACTTATCCATGGTATTCATGAGATATTTGGTTATTTAAGAGTTTTCAGGTTACCTGCAAAGATTATTTGATGATTCGTATAATCTAATAAACAACCAGATTAAAAATTAGTAATTAGTTTTTAAAAAATCTGGTTTCAGGCTCTAATGTGCTTTTCATCTATTATATTATCGATGTACATTGTAATTTAGAATATATTAGGAGAAAAAAAGATTGTGAGAAAATAGTCATTTCATAAAAGGGAACATCAAGGTGTTAAAATTCTAAATGCCATATCAATATATATATTGTATTATTGTACAATTGATTTATTGATACTTCATATATTAGTATATTCAGCCAATATCGAGTTTGAATCTAGTACCAAACACTGAACCCTGTTTATAATAAACTAATATTTAATTTCACTAGTTATTATGAATCAGATATTGATACAGTATATATTTATGATGATATGTATCTTTTTTAAAAATTAATGGCATCACGAAATTCACAAACTGCTTCTAATACATTTAGTGTTAGTGAAAATGAACCACAAGAGTACAGTGAAACAAATGAAACAAATGAATCAAGCCAATCATTTACAAAACGCAGAAATGTTAGCAGTAAAAAGCAAGGAGATATTTGACTTTATGTTAATAAAGATGTTAGTTTAGGTCAGAGATATTATAAAGATAGTTGTAAATATTGTTCTGTTTCGTGGGAAAGAGGTCAACCTGATGAAATGCACTTGCATCTTGCTTGACAATGTTTGAATGTTTCTGATGAAATTAAATATTTTTGGAGAGATTTTATTGCTGAAGAAAAAACTTTTATATGAAAAAAAACAAAACATAATCAGTCTGAAATTACAATCCATTTTCTAAAAGTTGAACCACTTCCTGAAGCACGGGTGGAATCTTTAAATAAAGCTATTTTAAAAACTTGGATTATGTGTAATTTTTCATTTGAAACAGTAGAGAATCCTTTTATAATCGACTTGTTTCAACTTGCAATTCCTGGATATGAACTCCTGTCACGTAATAGGCTCTCTAATCGTTTTTTGGACCAAGAAGTTTTAAGAATTGATAACCGAATTGATAATGATTTAGAAAAAGAAAATTTTCTTATTTTATATATGTAATATAAAAATTTTTTAAAAATTATAATTAATAAATTAAAATTTTTTAAAAAAATTTTTATTATAATAGCTCTCAATGGATGGACATTGCCTACTCATGATTCAATTTATAACTTTATTATTACTACATCTAAGCATAAAGAATATCTCATTAAACTTAAGGAGTATAACACAGTTAGTCATACGGGAGAGTTTATGGCCAGTGAAATTTTAAGTTTTATTGAAAAGATAGGTGTTGAAAAGTTCGCAGCAATTGTTATAGACTCAAGAGCAAATCTTTGTGTAGCTCGTCAAATCGTTCATAACACTTATCCTTCTATATTAAATGTTAGATGCGCTGCACACGCAGTAAACTTGCTTGCATCTGATTTCACTAAATTAGAATCAATTAAAGACATTGTTACCAAATGTGGTTCAATTTTAAATTTTTTTCATAATTCTCATATTGCTTATGGATATTATTCAGAACAACTTCATCTTATGAAAATCAAAGGTGGGAAAATTAAATCATACTGCAAAAACTTGTTAGGAAACACTTTTTACTATAGTAGATTCAATTGTTAAATCTAAGTCTGTTTTTGATTGGGTAAGTATAATAGTTAATATTATATTTATTTGACTTTATAGTATATAGCGATAGTATAATTAATATTTTTATAAATTTTGGAAAATCACGTGTCTGTAATCTCTAATACTGCGGTATTTGAACTTCTTGAGAATGAAGATTTTTATATTAAGTGCTATCAGATTTCTGTTATTTTAAAACCTATAAAGAAATTAACAAATTGTTTAGAAGCTAGAATGGCCAATTTAGCCAATATTTTTATTGGTTTGATTAAATTAGCTGCAAATATTAATCGAGTTGAAAATTCTAATCTGTGGAAAAAAAATATTAATAATAATTTTAATCGATGATTCAATGAACTTGTAAATCTTGTTACAATTCTTGCATACTGGTTACATCCCTTATATAGAGGTATATATATATAACGATAAGTGAAGATGCTACCCGATTATAAATTTTATATGTAAAACCAGTTTTTACATGTATATATAAAATTTATGATCAGGTCATATCTCTATATATAAGATTTATATATATTTATATAATTATATATATTTTAGATTGTGACTTAAAGAGAACAGTATTAGATAAAATTTATGAAATGGCTGCATTAATTTGGAATGATTTACATTATTCAGAAGAGTCATATATACAATTATTAATAGAAATGCGAAGTTGGAAATGAAAAGATGAACCTTACCATCTTCCTATAATTCTATTCATAAAACATCAATTAAATAGTGGCGTAGTGTATATGTTGATGATGATCAAGATCAACTCCAACAATTAGTATTACGTTTATTCTCAATTGTTTCTTCACAAGCCGTTTGTGAAAGAAACTTTTCAATGCTTAAATAGTTTTATGATAATAAGCAAACTCGACTTTGTCTTTCTCGAGTAGAAGATATAGCAAAAATATGCTCTTACTATCTTTCAAATTCTGATAAAGAACTTCAGCTTTATGGCAAAGATTTAAATAATGAAGAGCTATATGAAAGTATTAATACATCAATGGTTACATATGATTTACTTGAAACTTCAGATGAGAATACTAATAATGGTAGAACTAGTGATTTGGAAGATATTAATGGAAGCAAAGATTTGGAAAGTCTAACATTAAATATTGCAGATTTAGTAGATTTGGCGTTGCCAGAATTTTTAGCATCTGGAGATGCAGTATTTTCTTCAGAACCTGTTACAACTAATCAGGCTAGAAATATAGGTAATATGAATTACAATCCTATTGAATTAGCACGTCAAATGGTATTACAAGATGAGGATTTATATTAGTATTTGAATTATGCCTGTAATACACAAAAATTTTTTTCATGTATATACTAATAAATATAAGGTTTAGTAATAAATCGCAATTGAGGTATAAAATGATTAGCGTTTAATGGTAATACGTATATGGCATAAAAATTTCTTATTTTTGAAATGGCAAAGGTCCAAAAAAAAAGTATAGTATGATATATTTTTTTCGCTTTTATAAGAATATAATAATAACAATATAATAATAGAAATGTAATGATTCTTCTTGCAACCAGGCTTTATATACATAAAGGCTAAAAATTAAATGAAGTAGTTTTGAAATAGGCCCGAATTAAGGCCATGTTTCTAACTGAAACTGTAGATTAGCAGTATTTTGGATTTATGACAAAAAAGTATATTATAAACACTTATTCTCATTCTATTTATTCTATTATACATGTAGGCAAAGTGAAAACAAGAAAAAAATATCAATAAATCCAGATGTTGAAGGTAGCATAGGGCATTTACTTATTACCAAGGTCTAATAATAGTACTTAAAGATGGCGGATTGAATGGACAAAATAGCTGCAATAATGATAAAGAACATTTCAAGTTGGCTGTTGTTATCAAATTTATTAAAATAATATATAGTAGTATGCCTAAATATTATCAAAAATCTGTGGTTATATATAGTACACATAAACTATTTAATGTTGGGTATTATTATTAAGAAATTGGATTTGAATAATCGAAAAGAAGAATGATACTAATAGCAATCAATTGAGCAAATTTGCCAAAATTTTGATTTAATATTAGCCTTGTTTACATTGATCTCTTGAACTGTTCATTTGGTAACTTTCAAAATAAAAAAAAAATATTTATAAAATAACAATTTTATTTGATCATATAATAATTACAATATTACAATATAATAAAACCCTCAGTTTTCTATCGCAATTCTCAGAAAATCCTTTTTTTTATTCTTAGCAGTACTGATGCCATATTCATAACAATAGTCACCATCTTTAGTGGATTTTAATACTATTCAAATGCTTTCTTTTCATCTTTAGCAGTACCTATACATTCTCATAGCAAATCCAAGATTGTATTTTCCAAAAAAGTTACCACCTTTAGCGGATTTTAAATACCACTTTTTTCATCTTTAGTAGTGTAAAAACTATTCTTATAGTAAAACACAAGGCTGTGTTGTTTATTAAGATCGCAGATTTTGAATACCATTCAAATGTCATACTTTTGTCTTTTGCAACAGATTCTGTGGCTAAATTATCTAATAGAATTACCATATTTTACATATTTTAAAAACTACCTAAATGCTTTTTTTTACGTCTTTAGCAGTGCCAATTTTTATATCAGTGCCTGAACTATGTTAATAACAATATCAAAGACTATGCTTTCTACCAAAATCACCATTTTCAGCAGATTTTAAATAGCATTCAAATGCTTTCCTTACATTTTTTTTTCAGCGCCACTCTGAGATTCGAATTTTCGTCAGGATCACAACCTTCAGCAGATTTTGAATATCAATAAAATGCTTTTTCCTAAGTACTATCAGTACCTACACCATGTTCATAGCAATATATAAAAAAATAGGTTGTTAATAATATATTCAAAATGATATTTAGTAAAACGACTAGTACTGTATTTTAAGTATAAGGCAAAGTTTGAGAATTAACGATTGCTTAAGTTTGAAGTTAGATCACAATATATACAAGATAAAAATAAAATCTGTAAAATGACTAAAGTAAGTAACTTTATCTTAACAAGTTTGTCGATCTCGTGTATCTAGTTAAAATAAATGAAAGCAAAAGTGCTAATACTAATTCACCGTCTCACCAATTCACTGTCTCACCAATTTACCAATTCACCGTTTCACATTTCACCATTTCACCAATTCACCATTTCACCAATTCACCATTTCACCAAAATTTTATTTTGATGTAATTCTGGTGAAACTATTTCACCATTTCACCTAGTGAAATGGTTTGATTTCATCAGCATCTATAGATAAAAGTGAATAAATCAGGGTCTGTAATATGGTAAAATTAATATCAAGATCAGATTAAAGGATTTAAATAGAATATTTAAACAGGAGTATTAGGTATAACAACTGGTAAGGAACATTTAGACAAACTTCTTAAATAAGTAATATAGAAAAGTTATATGCATAGCCAGTTGTACACCCATCTAATAGTTTATTATAGATAAAGCATGTACTTAATATAAGTATTAATAAAAGGCTATGACCAAAGAGATTACCTTAATACTAAAAAAAAAATAAATATGTTTTAAAAATATATGTAATAAAATTTTTATAAAAAAAAATTAAAATTATAAAAACTAATAAAGAAAATACAATTGTATCAGAAAACTTTATAGATTTTATTTTAAGCTATAACTTTAATTATTTATTTGAACAAAAAGTTTTTATAATTCTAAATCCAGAACATAGCAGTAAAAATTATTAATTGATGATCTGCTAGTCAATCAGAGAATAATTATAGTGTAACATGACACAAATCACTTATAGAAATTAAAGGTTTGTAAATGTGGTGTAAATATATTATAAAACTTTTTTTTCATACTAAGTTAATCATCTTTCTCACTTAAATGAAAATTGTAAAGCTTATCAAGGTGCATCTAATGGTAGTTAAATCATCCAAATCAGCTTGGTGTTGCTAAGATATTATTAAAAAACATTATGTTGACTATATAAAATTCTATGTAAATAATAATATTGTTTACATAGAATTTTATATAGTCAGCATAACATTTTTAATGATATCTCAGCAACCACCAGGGTGATTTGAATGATTTAATTACTATTAGATGTATCTTGACAAGCTTTACAACTTTCATTTAAGTAAGAAAGGTGATTATCTTAGTATAAAAAAAAGTTTTATAATATATTTACACCACATTAACAAACTTCTAATTTCTATAAATAATTTGTGTTATGTTATACTATAATCACTCTCTGATTGATTAGCAGATCATTTATTAAAAGACCTTTAGAGTCAATAGCATAGTGGTTATGCTTTAAGGTCACAAATTGCAAGGTTGCCAGTTCAAATTCTAGTGACAGCAATTGTAGAGATGCATTTCTAAAAATAAAAAACTGTATCACTATGGTATTAGGATTTTAGAATGTCATCAGATGAACTTATTTCTAGAAAAATAAATAATTTGCAATTAAGAAACCATCTATTAATAAACATGAGTTAGAAACTAATTTGGAACAACCAAAGTTATGAAACATAATGTGAGACCAAAAGTCTGACAATAAAAGATATTATATAAACTTATGATAATAGACAGTTCTAAACAGAGCTTGATAAAACCTTCTGATTTTGGCAGAGGTTGATGCAATGGATTACTTCTAAAAAGTCTAAAAAATGATTAGACTAAAAGAGGTCAAAGTTTAGTAACAGAAAAATATTGAGAACATTGTTTAAAAATATAGATAAACATATGAAAGATCTTGACAAGATCATTAAAGAATAAAAAAAAAAAAATTATTAAAGAAAATATAATGAATCCAAATAGTAACAAATAATTTGATAATATTAATAAAAATTTTGTGTTATTGCAATGATAAAAACTTGCAAATTACATATATTTGTAATTCAATTTAGCCCATATTTAGTTTTAAAAATTTTTTGCTAACTCTGCCTAGCTTGCACTTAGCTTTAAAATTTTTTGCTAATTTAGACTGCATATATATAGTATATATTTTCTTTAATGCAAAACTTATTATTAAATTTTATAAATTTTTAAGTTTGCAATTATAGTTATAAAATTTTATTTTAGACCTGGTTATAAAACCTAATACAGACCTTTAGACAATAGGATATATATTCTAAATACTTAAAAAACTATAATAATAATACTTTCTGGCTATAATAACTAAGATATAAAATAAACTAATTTAGATTTACAATTTGAGTTTGTAATAAAATAAGTTAAGTTTGAATTAAGCTTATTAAAACTTAAAATCATATTTGGATTTTACTATAAAACTATTAAAACTTAATAAACCTAATATAACTTTACTATGTTAATCAGTTTAATCAAATTACAAGAATATGCATAAATTATATATAATTTATATATAATTTAATTAGTTTAGTAATAATCTAAAATTTTGTTTTTGTTAATAATATAATATTGTATATTCATTGTAAATTAGAGTTAAAATATTAAATTTGTAAAAGAAAAGAAAGACAAGTATAATTAAAAAAAAAAACATATATAATCAAATAATAACAAAAGAATAATAATTATAATTAAATAATAAAAAAATTACATTCTTTTTTTTTATAATACTATTGTAATAAATTTAAATGAATATTAGCTCTGATGTATAAAATATTTGAAAAAAAATATATTTGTTGTTAATAATAATATCTTTATTTTTTTTAAATATTAAAATAAGTACTTGTGATCCAGAATTTTATTAATAATATATTTGGCTAATAGTTGCTTTATAATCATAGAAGGCAATTATAAAAAAAGTGTACAACTAGCTACTTGTACAACTTTAGTTATTGTCTAATTTAAGTAGTTTATCCAAAGGTTTTACACTAGCTGTCATACCTGAAACCTGCTTGTAAGTTCCTTATTTAAACATTTTAGTTCTTGTATCCACTTATTTATCTCTATATACCAATGTTTCTGGCTAATACTGGTAAAAATATGCCTTGGTCACTAAGTCTTTAAAGCAGTTTATTTATATAAAGAACTTTTAACTTTGTACTAAATCTTTCAAAATTTTCTATATACTATTCTTATAGCTAACTCAGTATTACTATAGCTAAGACCAACACTTGTAATCAGAGTATACTATTAAACTGCTATGTTCTTATAGAGTTTATTCTAATCTTAGTACTAATTTCATAATATATTCCTACTACTTTGATATTTAATTCAAGTTTTATTAAACTGTAACTTAAATAGTTCAAAAAAGTAGATTATAACTATACACTTCTGGTTCACATATTCTCTAGCATGTATTTTTTTCC